GATTACTATTTGATCAGAATCACGTTTTAGCATCCTATGGAGGAGAGTGACCAGTTGTTGAGGAAGAATCGATTGTTTATATCCTTGATTATGTAACTGCAAGGTGAAATAATAGCGCTGATGCTGCATGACCAGAGGGCTGGAGGGCAGGAAGGAGTGTGTAATTTCCATGCTGTTGGCTGTTACATCATGTGCTGATCGTGACTGTTTGAGTAAACCTCACTTCAGCAGCCCCGCTCAATAATGCACGAATTCATATAAACAGAAGTATTTCCTCATGAGTCATTTGTTTTTGGGTTTGAGTTTGCATATCAGTGGTACATCACACGGCATGCATGACCCTGATAGGCAGCATTCAGATGCTGCACTGCCCAAAAAATAACCCTGGACATGATGTTAGGGGGAAAAAAAGCCTGCCTTTTTATTTTCGTTGAGCAAAAACTCCACTTTGCCTAAAGGGTTGCATTAGTGGGTTAGATAAAAGCTGGCGTATCCTTGTCCCCACCATTATTCTTCTGTCAGTATTTGTTCGCTGGGGGCTGTGCTTGTGCTTGAAACCTTTGTTTTGCTTTCAACTACAAACAGAGCCGGATGTGTCTAATAGGTCTTGTTAAAGTTCATCATATCTGCGCTCTCCTCCTGCCTTCCTGCTCCCTCCCGAGGGTTGACATCAAATGAAAAGGCTGGGCTCAATAGAAGCATTCACAGTGACGATATGATATGTATCGAGATAGATTTTGTCGTTAATCAGAGGCGTGATGCCTATATGCTGATATGGAAACTTGCGATATCTCTGCGCTTGTTACAGTGCCATTGTTTGTTTTAGTTATTATTCTGCTTGTCAGCAGCCTGACGCTGTTCATCTCTTCTGACCATCTGTCGCCCTTCACCTGATTATTAATGCAGGAAAGTGAACAAAAGTTGCAGCTGCCCATTGGAACATTCTGGCTGTTGCCTGTAGATGAGTTATTTAAAGGTCATGTTAATCCCTCCCTCCCTGTCTCTGAGTGTCTTATGAAACTCATACAAGTTGAGAATAGCTCCATGGGCGAGTGTCTTGCTTTATTCAGCCTTGTTTCTACAGAAACTAAGCACCACGGATGATGATGAGGATGACGATGAAAGCAGGATGTCCCTACATGGGTTTATGCACCACGTTCAGTGAAGGCACCTGTAACGGGAAGCTAGTTCTAAAGCATCAGTCTTTGTTTTCTTTTTAAACAAGCCTTTATTATCAGACCTGACTGCTAATGTCCCAGAAAATATACAGACAGTGGCCCTCGTGTGTAAGCGCTCAAGCTTTATTGGGCACCCTTTCATGTAGGGTTGATGCACACAGTCATAACAGTGATATAGTTATGACTGAAATTACAGTAAGAACCATTTCATGATGTTTAGACATAAAACCATGTAATGAGTGTCTCTCATGATAATGCGTTATCATGGCTACAAAGACAAATGTTTAACTTAAGAGGTCACTGTGCCTCCTGATGAGTGCATTATGTTGATTTCATAGGGCTCCTCGGCTAGTTGCTTTGCAGGATTTTATGAGCACATCTATGAAGCTGTTAATAATCCAGAGCAATAATGTGATTAGTTTGCAATTTTATTGGGAATTTTGTTACCAGCTGCAAAAGTGTGTAAGTTACGGTTTTCACCTTGTGAATGTGTGTGCGTCGTCTTGTCAGAGTGCGGTCTTGACGACACTTTGTGTAGCAGCAGCTACTAGAAATGTGCTTTTGAGTGCTTCGCCACATCTGTCTGTGGCAGATTCTTGTCAGCATAATTTTTGGCGTAGTTGTGTAACTTTAAGTTACGTGTCTGCAAGTTTCAGTGCGCTTAGTTGCTGGGACGTGATTGGCTGATTGGATATTTGGGATAACAAGCAGTTGAACAGGTGTATTTAATGAAGTGGCCTGTGAGTGTTTGTAAAATTTTCAGAGGGAGGCAGTGCTGTTTCACCATACATAGACTTTACTTTGGTGGGCTGCCCAGATATGTGGACAACAAATATATTTGGCTACTCATTGTATCATTTATCTTTTCATTCAACAGCGCCATCTGCAGTTTACTAATAAACACTTCCTTTGTTTACAGTGAATCATTCTATTCATTTCTATTAGTACTGCTCACTTAGCCCTACCCTTCCCCAGTATTTACTTTAGCCTTAATATGAATTATTATTAGTTTTAATCCACTGAAACAAAAATATTTCACAGCTTGTGCCTCGAATGTTTTGATCACAAGTTGGTGTTTTGATTAATATTAAAAGGAATAATAGCACATTCATTGTTATGCAGATGATACCCAGCTTTATCTGTCATTGAAGCCAGACATAGACCAGTTAGTTAAACTGCAGGAGTGTCTTAAAGACAAAGGTCTGGGTCACCTCTATCAGGTGACATTGAACCTGCCCGTAGTTACAGCTCAATAAGCTGCTCAGGGCTTCCCATGATGCACTGTTTCTTCTTCATTCACCCCTTTTCTACATCTGTGTGTATACTTTGCACTAGGGCTGGGCCATATCATACTTTTTCACAGTAATACCGGTATAATGTTGGGCAACGATAAGAAAATG